AGCATCCAAAAGTGCATCCTGGGGTGCAGCAGGTTGAACGGCGGGACGCCTACCTCAACAATGGAGCGATTCGACATTTGCCAAGCTGCCCTAGTTAGTTGTTGCCTGGCAGTGGGTAGGACAACTCGTGCAAATTTGACAAGTTGCTTCAAAACTGTTGCAGGAATACCATGCTTGATTCTAGCAATGCAAATGCTGGAGATCCTCAGGAGATATAGTAACATGCACGTGTGCACGTTCAAAAAACAAAGTGTTACATGGTGGACCTCAAACCCTGCCAACATCTTAAATCTATGACCTGTGAGCCATCAGAGTTCCTAAAACCAAAGCGTAACTAACATCAACCATTGCGCCACATCGTGTGGAACCCCCCAAACGACCAGGTGCCAATTGGAGGGTCATGCTACGCCGTGCAGTGCCAACGAGGCGGCCACGCCTCTGCCTCCGTCTTCTCGCAGGGCGAGCGGTGCACTTCGTCGTCGATGCCGTCGGGGCGGACGCCGCCACGAGAGCGCCTGGGAGGGGAGCGACCGGCGAGCTCAAAGGATTCGGTGGGTGAAGTCAGGAGTTTGGGGTTGGATTAGGGGAGAGGTTTGTTGGGTTTTGCTGGCAGGCATTGCTGGTTGGTAGGCTTTTTGGGATGGCAGGCCGGATTGCAAGACCCCAGAGTTTGGTCGAACATGAACATGCAACGGAACAAGTTCGCAACCGTTCCGGAGCCAGGCTCCGAAAAACCGAGCCTGAAAAGCAACTAAGACCCCCTGCTTCACTCCCTCACGGCAGCACAAGTGGATCTGGCAATCGCTCCGAAGGACGGTCATTCCTCTCTCACCGTCGACGGTTGAAGGGAATTCATCCGGTGGGGCTTTCATCCTGAAGCATCTGAATCCTAGTAGCGTCCTTGTTACTAGTAATGTTGGATCCTGATTGGTAAAGGGGGGCCCCCTCCTCCCCTCAAACAAACAGGAGACCCTCTATAATTAAACTATCACCAAAACAAATCTGGATTCCTGTGAGAATTCCTGTGAGAAAGCTGTCAGTTTTGAAGAAACCTAGAGAAAACTATATCAGCTAATGCATCATAATCATTGGCCTCAGGAGCTAAGGAAAGGAAGATTACATGAGCATTTTTTTCCAGTGAAAAAAACTTTTCACAATTGAGAAAAACAAATCTATTATTGAGGATCAGGTGCCTTCCTGGTCTACTACCTTGAAAATTTGTTTAGGAGCAATGTTTTATAAAGGGTTCAATTAGGAATTGGTGGTTTTGGTCAGCTGTCAGTTTTGAAGAAACCTAGAGAAAGCGATATCAGCTAATGAATCATAATCATTGGCCTCAGGAGCTAAGGAAAGGAAGATTCCATGAATTTTTTTCCAGTGGAAAAAACTTTTCACAATTGAGAACCCAAAAACAAATCTATTATTGAGGATTAGGTGCCTTCCTGGTCTACTACCTTGAAAATTTGTTTAGGAGCAATGTTTTATAAAGGGTTTAATTAGGAATTGGTGGTTTTGGTCAGCTGTCAGTTTTGAAGAAACCTAGAGAAAGCTATATCGTCTAACTAACGAATCATAATCATTGGCCTCAGAAGGAATGCAAACCCTTATTAATTAGGTTTCCAATTTGAAAATTTAGGGTCCCCCCAAAAAATTAGCATGATTCAGGACCCATTTTTCAAACATGGGGGTCTGCATAAATTTGGAAAATTTAGCATTATAGAGGACCCCTTTACTAATCAGGATCCAACATTAGTATGGCCAGGAGCCCCGTTCGTAGCGTCCTTGCTCCTAGTAGCGATGCCAGGAGCCCCTAGTAGCTTATGTCCATTTTATCGAACCTTAATCAAACTGTGAGGAAGACTCTCTCTCCATGGGTCGTGCATCCAAAAACATGCAAAGCCACTCGGCGCGAAAACTTTGCGTTGGCGAAAACACTTGCAAATCTACGGCAGGTGAGAGAACTTCAGAATGTATCACAAGAATTCCGACTACGTCATCATTGGAGAAACAGGAGGCCTGTCACAGCTTTGGAAGAACGAACCATCCTAAAGAAGGGGAACAGGAACACAACACTGAAAATCATCATACATCACAAATGTATAAATCACCATTGTGCTTTATGCATTATTCATTGAGCCCTCACGTCGCCCCCAAAACCTAACCAAAAGCACACGTGCACCTGGCCGCCAGGTGGAAGTGCCTGGAAGGTCTCTTGCTGAGAAGGCTGGAGACTTCGAAGGGTCAAGCTGCAAAAACCTGGGGAGTTAAAGGCACACCCAAAAAAAGTCTTGTTACAAAAATCATCGAACAAGAACATCCTGAACAACTGCATATTTATATAGAATGATTTATATAAGTTCTTCTGTGGTTCATACGGTGCTTTCTTCGCGATTGCAGCCAAATCCTCCCGCTCTGCCCACCAACCACCAACCCTTCAACCGGCGGTGCCTTCCGAAAATACTCGGCGGTCTGCACCTCGTCCGTGGCCAAGTAGAGGACCTGGCGGAGCCGAACTCATAGGGAATCACCTATAGAATGACCATATGAAGGGCACTACGAAGGGCTCACGTGGGCTTCACAAAAGCAACAAAATGGGATGGCAAGCTTATTGCGTAAAGTTAAATTCGTATCCTTTCCAGGAATCGATGCGACTGCACTCGGCTGCGCTCTGGGACCTTTGTCAAGAGCCACCCCATAGTATTGAAAGAACAACACCCTTGCATACCCTTGCCATGTCAGGTGATTGCCAAAACTTATATGTTAAAAAGTGCCATGCCGCCCAAGGACTATAGATGACTGTAGTTACAAGGAATACCATGCAGGGTGAGCAATTCCAGAAATCCAAGAGTTCGCTCTAGTCCCTTCTGCGCCCATCGGCGTGCCCTGGCTTGGGAAAGTGTGGTTTTCATCAGTGCTCCCCCGCACCTGCGGCGTTCCAGGCCTGAGTTGTTCGAGTCTTTAAGTTAAGGATACGAAGGGTGCCACAACAGGAGGCTTGAAGGAAAGCGATTCAGGCAACATTCAGGTGACCAGAGGCAAAGCAGCCAGGAAGCAGTCAGTAGGCTAGGAGCTTCTGAAGATTCTGTCTTTGTTGAAGTGATCAAACTATGTATGATCAAAATGTTCAAGCAAAGTACATACAACCTATCCGTTGGAAGGCCAGCCCCATGGCAGCATTCAATGAATCCAACACCTCTCCGACCCTCCCACCCTTTGTTCGTAGAGGACGTCGTCTTGTTGCAAACCCACCAGTTCGGAGCGTTCCAGTGTTGAGTTCCCCTGAGACTACGACGGCGTCTGCTGCAGAAGCACCTTTGCCTCAGATGTTTCATGGCAAAGGGCAGGGCTTCGCTCGGCCTTGTTCCATGGTGAGCCTCGCAAAAAGGAGCCATGTTGTTCAACACGCCCACCCTTTACTCCACACCGTGCAGATCCATTCTAAGCGTGGGATGTTCAATCGACTCTAGACTGATGGTCACCTTAGGCCGTAGGGCAACACTGGAGGATCATTTCCCTACTAAATCCATCCTTATGATCTTGAGGGCGATCCATCCTCACAAACATGATTAAACACATACATCTTCCAAGGTGATATGTTTTCCCAGCATTCCATCAACACCTTCCTCTCAGCCCACAAAAACAGGTCGTGCGAGGAAATCTGCCAAGAAGTCAACCTACCTTGAAAACCAATCTGTCCACTGCATAACTGATATATATATATATATATGTGTATAACATATATATAACATATATATATATATATCTAATCATTGTTTATCGATGTTTCGAGGACACATCCTCACGAGTGGCATCCAAACCGTGGAAACAAACAGCACATGGAAGCTGAAAAAACTGGAGTCTAAAGGATTTCAGGACATGTTTTGCCCATGACACGTTGGGAGTGGTCTTAGGCCCCGCAAGATGCAACTGGGCAATGTCGGTTCCATAGTCTTGACAGTGGCCGAAAGCGCAAATGCTTTCAGCCATCGCTTGCCCCATAGTCTTGACATTCCGGAAAGAAACACTTTTACCTACAAGTTGACACCTGACCCTTCTGCTTTACCATGCCCGCCAGTCAAAAAGCTTGTTTGCAGGCCAATTGATTCTGATCTTTGGCCTGTTGCCTTGACACTGGATCACACACTAACACTGGATCACACACTAGCTTCAGAAAATATGGCTCTTAAGGAGCTTTGGATAGTTTATTGAGCTGAGCTATAGTCTTGACACCGTGGTGGACCATGGGAACACAATCCCTGTACATCAACCTCTGTCCAAAGCAATTTTGTATGATGGAGAGCCCTGATCTTTGTGCGGGATTAGGCTGCAGTCTTGAGCGTGTCAGCATGGGCGCTCTCACCATGCTCTTGACATACACAAATGCCCGTATATATTATCCAAACGGCAAGTCATTGAATGTGTGAAATAGACTATAACATATATATATATATGTGCGTGCTATTGTTGTGTTTAAACAAAAAATATATATATATATATGTGTGTGTGTGTAATGATATCTATGTGTGCGTGTGGCTCCACAAGAAGTTTGGAGCACATCCTAAAGAAAGCGCCCTTCTGTGCCCCGGGACCATTGCCAAATACTCCTCAGGCGGAGGATTCCGCTGCGCCAGCTGGCAGCACGCCACCTGCGTTGTGAGGCCGCGGGGTCTGCAGCTTGCTCTGTTAAGGCGATCTCACCTGTGAATTGCTTCCAACTTCCGTTGATTCGGAACGACGCAGAAACCTGTCACAAGGTTGAACAACCACCTCACCTGAAGGCCCAAAGGTAGAAAAGTCATCAAACTTTACCCAAGTGTTCTAGCTTTGCGGGGTAATTGATCCATTTTGTTTGCTTGCAACCATGATCAAAAGCCATGAGACATCCACATGTTCAGAGGCGGCATGTCATTTCAGCTCGCACGCATGGCCAGTATGAGCTCATCGGTGGCTTTCTCATCCACAGCACCATCTGGGTGGGTGCCTTGTCGAGCTCCTTGGCTCTATGGAGTCATATGTGCAAAGTCTGCACCATCTGAACTCCCAGCTTTCTGCAATTCTTTCTCAACTTGGGATGTTGGCGAAAGCAAAAAACTTGCATCTTCCCACAAATCTAAATCCTTGATGACCTTCGGAACCTCCGTAGAGAAAGCCACCACCTCATCCACCAGCAAAGCTGGAAAAGATCTCCCCTGTGAAAGCTTCTTCATGGCCTGGTAGACAGCAATTCCTTTGGCTGAAATCTCCGACTTCAATGCAATTTGCCACGCCGCACGGGCTGCTGCCATCGCCGCAGCCTGGCGTGCAGGATCTGGATCCAGCCTTCGCAAAAGATAGCAAACAAGGTCAGACAGCTCAGTGCCCACAGTGGCCAGCAAACCTGCGCAGTCCGATTGTTCAAAAAGAATTGCGCAATCCAAGAGCGAGAAGTTCATGAGGTTGCCGCCTTGGTGTCTGAAAAAAATGCTGAGACCAGCCAACGGTATTCCAGCTTTCCGGACATTTTCGAGCCTGTCTTTCCGCAAAAAAGGACGACGATCAGTCGAATCGAGGAAGAAACCTCCCAGGCCGTTCTCTTCTGGCAGCGCCCACGGAGCTTCAGGGGGTGACAGCAGATCTGCAAAGTCGGCCCAAGGACGAGCACCGCACAAAACCAATGCGGCTTGGAAGGGTACATGAACAAAATACTTTGTCTGAAGGTCCTGCAGCGCCGTGCCGGCCGAGAGGGCCGCAAGGATCCGGAGCATTTCGCACTCCGAAATTGGAATGGTGTCCGAGGCCTCGTCGTCTTCGAGACAAAAGTTACCCTGATCCCGGGCCAAGTAGAAAGCTCGATGCGTCAAATAGTCAAGCCCACAACTCGCACAACTCCACCGTCGCAGGGGCCGGAGACTGGATAGGCTCTGCGCAGTGCATGGCTGCCTCCTTGTCGCCGGTGAGGATGGCGATGTCCATCAAATGCACCATGGCCTCCTCAGAAATGGCAAAAGGCAATGCAGTGCCACAGTGAAGGGCCTCCAGCAGGTTCCAAACCAAGGGGTGCTTGGCTGTCTGGCAAGCCTCTTCTGCAGCATCCCTGCAATTTGCAGCCCAGTCCTCCATCCAAATGCCATGGTCGATTGGGAAGCCGAAGCAGCACCCGTCACACGTCTTCCGCTGATCCCAGCAACATGTGCAGCTGTATTGGCTGTGTAGAAGCTCAACATGCTCATTATCAGGAAACCGAGGATCAAACTCAAAGAAAGTCCTGTTAAGGTGATGGACGTCCAATCCGCCTCCGACTCCTCTCTGAGCCATGGCACAGGCAGTGTCGAAGAGACCCAACCTGAGGCACACATCGAAGAGCTGCACCTCGCCCCACTGAGAAGGAACGTTTTTGCTTAGCAATTCCTTGTGGCCTTCCATCAGTGCCACAGCTATCTGGAACTCTTTCACTCCGTGACTCTCCTGGGACTTCCCAACATAGCACACAAAATCCCTGGCATCCATTCCACTCGGAAGTCCACACACGCACAGATCGACCTATGAGTGAACCATCTGGCTGCGACAGTCGCATGGTGTGTCACTCACATGCTGAAACTCAGCAGCTTTTCACACTTTCTCGTCAGCTGAACATATTGCTGCCATTTCTCCCCTATATATACACATACTGGTTTGCCCAATCCCTACTGCACGCCCTCCCATAAATGATAAGGCTTGCGTGGAATCCAAAGGGAACTAAGGAGCATAAAAGACCTGTCAAGGAACGGCATCCAACCCAAACGAAGTCTAAAAGGTTGCTCACCCCGCTGCACCCACGTCACAAAGCCTGGGACGGCTTCTCCAGGTTCTTGTGAAACCAATGGGTAGAGACATCTTTCCGCGAAACGGCCCCCAGCTCATAATGGCGCAAGGTGCAAGGCATCTAATCGTTCATTTCATCTGTTGGGTCTATTGGGTTCTGTTCAATCTAATATTTGGGAAGGGCGGCCTTTGTTTCAAGGCACTTAAAGATTGATCTCCTTTTACCCTGGGCTTGGGCAACACGCTTCCACCGGCCATAGGGTTTATCCACTGGTTTATCCATGTTCATCCGGACAGGTTAAGATCTCCATGGAGGCTGCCGTACGCCGTGGCACGTGGCGCCGTGCGCCTCGTTGGTGCCCAAGCGCTTGTGCACTCCGACCTTCGCTGGCGGTCATGTGAGTGTAACTCCGCTCCAGTGAAGCACGGAGCGAGCGAGCGAACAGAACGACCGTGCTGGGGCAGTGCAACAGAATGTCTTGGGAACAGCTTTTTCAGTACAGCACATAGATCCTTCATCATTGTCTTGGGTTACAGAACATGGTAGATTCATCCAGTGGACGGGGCATCCGTCGAAAACAATACGTTGCTCATTCTCACTACTCATGGATGAACGTGACTGTGGATCCAAGTCTCAACTGCAACAATGGCATCTCACCAAATTGTGAAGGTAGGCCTCCAATGGTTTCCATGTGGCCGACAGCACTACAAGGCGTAGATGCCAAGCAACCAGCAACCGTCAGCAACTGTTTTTGCATATGACCTGTGTTTTCTTTATCACAGGTGGCGTCCGACCTGAGTCTCGGCCAAACAAGGCTCCAACCCACGTCGCTGTGACCAGGCGGCCGCACGACTCGGGCTCCGGTGGGCCACGTCTCACGCACCTTTTGGCATGGCTGAGCGGCGCCTAAGGGGTCGAAGCACGCGTAGTACTGGAACTCCTTATCACATCATGTTGAGGTTAAATGCTCCATGTGAGATCTTGGTTTCTTCATACTATCCTGGGTCAAACGCCACAGGATCTTCTTTCATCAACGGCTTTCGAACTGCTTTTATTATCTTTTAACTGTTTGCCACTGTCCAACGGCATCCTCTCCGTTTCTTGGTGTGCCCGGACGGCGTGCAGCAATAAACATCCTCAGCCTTCTCTACAACTGCACCCATTCCACCAAACCGATACCATTTTGTGTATTAAACATCGTGCCAAACCATCTCTCAAATTGGCGGCGGGGGCCGCTGGAGAAGCTGTCTCGGTCTCCAAGAAGGTTTCAATTGCAGTCGCCAAACAGCAAAGGTTAAATTGACAATAATCAATTGAATCATATCAGGAACAACCGATAAAATATAGAATCCACCCAGCAAACGAAAGTAAACCAGCGACTGGCGACTGACTGGTGTTTGGGGCCCCTTCTCCATGCCAAACCGCTCCCCAGCAGCATCCCTTGCACCTCGCTGAGCTTTCGTGTCATCAGTGCCGATGGCTTCAAGGCACCCTGCATGGCACGGTGATAGCCTGTGGCGGACAGGGTCCCACAGGGTCCCGGTTTTGAAGAAATGGGGCACTTGGAAGAAATTGTTGGAACAAACACAAGAACATCAGCTTCCATTAGGCTCTCAGTTGCAAGGAGTGTGGAAGGTAGAACGAGGCTGCTGTCAATCCAAAGTTCCCCACCGGACTGAGGTCAAAACACCGTGTTATCTTGAGGCCCAGTTTCGGACACCCTTCTGCAACACCCCCATTTGTGACAGGACACAGTTGGTAAGCTACATCCTTCACTGCTTAAGACCTCTTGGGGAAGATCATCTTTGTAGTGTGATTGATCTTCAAAAAGGGCCTCGTCAAATGCCTTAGGAAATTGGCCAAGCAAGGTCGGGGAATGGCTAGAACTCAACCAAATCCGTTCGAAACGCGGAGCTGTGCATTTCCGCATCAATAAGAAAACATGTTAACCCAATCCTATCTCTATAACAACTTGCAATGTTGCCTTTTTGCTTCGGTTGACGCTCTGGCAGTGTTGGACCGAGGCTCCCAACAGTGTCGGAGTGCCTGGAAATCCTGCAAAAAGCCGACACTGTGGTCGCTTTTTGGAGGGCTGATAGGGGTTAGGGCTTAGAGATTTTAAGGTTTGGAGACTGTTCTGGGCTGGGTGATCGCCATGTGATTGTGGATCTAAGGTCGGTCAAAGCTTCAACTTGACCGAGTGGTTGGGTCCCAACTGGGGAAGTGCTGGAACTACTAACTTGCATCATTAATGCAAGTTACAATATTTCTTTTGGCTGTTTCAACAGATATAGCAACAGCCGCTAAAATCGCGTTGTGTCGATCTGTAGGCATCGCACGTGCGCTAAAGTAGATCACTGTATCACGAAGTCCTGGGATTTTTCGCCTGGTCACTTGTTGCATTTTTGGTACAATTTGCAGCTAGAAGGGTTGCAGTAAAAATGCTGGGGTTTTCTGCGTACAGGAGCAAATGCCGAGGTTTTATCATGTTTTATCAACACATGTGTATATATATATATATTTAGATAGGCTTTGGATGACTCTTTCTTTCTGTCTCTCTGTCAGGCAATGTCAGGCACTTTGGGCCCATGTAGCCCCAAACAAAGGTTATTGGGCACCAATAAGATCTAAGCTCATGTCACCTTCCACATCCCATGAATGGGACATATCACATTGGAGGAGCATTTCAACAACCGAATATCAAAGCATATCAAAGCTCTGAAGAATCTTCTCCCTGCACCCTGGTCCTTTTCTGGCACCTTCCAAATGAGGCCCCTCAACATGTTCCTCAGCCACATCAGCTGCAAACCGCTGGCGTTGGCTTGGCGGAAGCTGGTGAAGGCTGATAGGACGATGGGCAAGGCTGATAGGTTGAAGAACGGTGAACGATTGATAGGTGGCAAAGCGGAAGCTGGCTGACGGATGTGCAGGTAATCTCCACCAACATCCTGCAATCTCCTGGTCACAAACGTCCCCATCTGCCGGCCCAAATCTTAGCCAAAAAGGCCCTGGTGGAGTTGGCTCCCAAAAATGCAATTACACGCCCTTTGCACTCTTGGATCTTCATCCTCTCAGGGCCGCGACATGAAGAGGATGTTCACCCTCAGCTCGAGACTCACGCACACTACAAGCGAACGAGGCCATTCGAGTCGTTGCGGAGTGGGTTGATTCGCATCTCTGCTGAATCGCCGCATGAACACCCTTGACTTGGGCTCACATCGCCATAATGACATGGCTTGTAGGAGGCATGTTTCTGCGAGACAATCTGGGTGTCTCTGGCAGGGTTATAGAAGCGTAGAACTGTGAAATGTGCGAATCACCGCAGTGCGAACCAATGACATATAGCACAATATTATTGCAGCATACAAAACAATAAGCAAAATAGAGTTGCATAAAACAGTGGCTATCATAACTTTCTATCATCATACAGCGCCATGCTGCGATAAAGATCAAATCATGTTCCCATCAACCATCTGTCCCACACTGAGCCTCCCAACCGCTTCCGGAAGTCGTGCACCCGCGGGCGACAAGCGTCTTGACGGGTCTTGGCGCGCCAAATTCGGGCAACACGGCAACACAAAACGATGATATGCACATTCATATAAAAGTGTTCTCAGGATCGACCGTGCGGATGACCTCACACTTTGCGGATGACCTCCCTGGCTCGGTCGAGGACCGCTGTGGCTCCGGACCGCACTGCGGCAGCGGTGGGTTCGAGTGAACAAATGCTGAAAGAGATCGAAGCCCACGGGGCCGTACCTGGAGCCGCGGGGAAGGTCTGGATGATTCGTTCAGGAACGAGATTCTGGGCTGACCCCGAGATGACATGACATGCCCAATGAGTTCAAAGGTTTGTTGACACCAACCCTGGCAAGCCTACCCTGACAAAATGTTGGTAAGGCATCAGGCATGATTTGGTTTGGGATTCACTTGGCGAACTGCAAGCCGCTTACGGCATGTGGGTGGGATGTCATGCCGTGTGACCGTGTGATGCTAGGGGCCCACCTCCTAGACTAATCTGGCATCGGCAAACTGCTAGCATCCCAAGGCGGACTCCTCTCAGGTAACCGGGTAAGTGTATATCCCACTCAGCAACATATATGCTGTATGAATATGCATGAATCAACCTACAAGCGTTTGCACATCAGGCTGAGCGGACTTTTGATGTGCAACACAAATATACTGTAACTATGGCATGAACATGTTCAGCATGTTTCTGTCAAAGCCACAATTAAGGACCCATCCGGTCCATAGATTTCTCAATGGATGAGAGGTGTTTGCTATCGTTTTTTGCTGTTGAGAGCAAAGAATGGTGACCTGTTCAAACACGTGGTCAGGGGAGGCTCGGCAATTGATCAAGAGCTTCTTTTGAGCTCTGGATCTGCCAATCCCGCCAAAGGGACTGCAAACCAAGAGGGCCCATGTTCGATATAAGAACATGGCGCCCACTCGAAGAATATAGGCAGATCCTGTTTAGGACCTCCTACTCGAACACAGGAGGCAAACTAGTCTGGGCAAAGGTTGGTGAGTTGATTCACCAGCACCGGCACCGGAAAAAAACATAAAGCACAACACAGTGCGGGCCAAAAACTTCCTTCCTTCTTGAGAGATTGTGATATTCAACGGCATTGGAGAAGACTTGGCCCACAGCCGGGTTGCCAGTACAGTATGAATGCGACTGGTTAGCGAAAGAATGCGATCCTCT